TATCCACTGCTAAATATAGGCTTCCCCCATAAAAGAAGTTTTGCAAGTAGTTGCTACACTTGGCAGGTGGGTTGCCAATCGCAGTTAGGCTTTGGTGATGTTTTAAAAGGGACGCTGCTGCCCATCCCTCGTCCTCCTTTAGTCGCCTCTTAGGACACCCACGGGATAGGAAGGGGTGGCCTATTCAGTGCCGGGAGCTACACTTAGATTTAATATATAAAAAAGACTTTAAAAAAATGAATATTGAGGTTAATAATAAATTTGAATTTGAAATAGCTTTTTTTGTGGAACAAATTAAAGGTATGGTTTATAAGAGACGGAAATTAACGCGAATACTTAGGTAAACTATGATAATTTATGTATCTCGGTTAACCCGACTTTTCGACCAGGGGGTCTACCATGGAATAAAATTCCGAATTTTAGAACTCAATTTCGTATTTTTGTTCATAGCGAAATCGGCCCAGTAAATGGAGCATAACATTTCGTTCGTCATAAATCCTACCGTAATAGACTAAAGGAACAATATTTTAACATTTTTAATATTTTGAAACAGTATGTAACTTTAATATCAAATTTGCGTTTGGTTCGGTCCCGATATTTCGAAAAATATTTTATCGTAGGCTCTCTGGTCGTGCCGGCTGTGGCTACGAGTACACTTCGGTTATAGTTTACCAACATGATCGCTTTAATTCCCGTGTTTTATAATCTATAAACCATGGTATATGAAAGTCAAAAAGTAAAAAAAAATATACTCTCTTGATGTTCCCTCATTTTTTAAGATTAAAGTCAACATATACTACGATCAACAAATGAGAGTTGAAGGCAATTAATCACTTCTGTGCTCGAATCGATTCATCACAATTTTCGATTGTCGATCAATCTAATCGAATCGGAATCGGAGTACCATTTATTTGATTGTCCACTGCGTGACTAATTAAAGTATTTAATTAGAATTGATTTCTCATAATACAGCTATATCCCGTGGCTTCGCCCGTAGTCATATTCTGATGTTGAATAGCCTATAATCTTCCTTAAAAATGAACACAATATGTTATATTATGTGCCATCAATAGACACGCCAAATACCTTGGATTACTACATTATTTTAATTTTAGCAAAATTTTCTATTTTATTAAAATAAAATATGGCTTATAGTACTTAACAAAAGTACGTAGCTTGTTTGAATGAAATAAAAAAAAAAAATGTTTGAAATCGGCTGATTGGATTTTAAGTTTATCCATTTTAACAACAAATAAACAAATACTAAATCGCTGCAGTAATTGTAAAGGAATCAAAAAGTCTTTTTTCTTTCTGAACTAAGTAATCACGAAACTTGACTATCTATCTCTGAACATAAAATATTTATATGTTTTGAAACATAAAACGTACTGGCGAAGTTGTTTGATTGATGGAGAAAAACAGCTATAAAATCCATCAAGTAGTTTCAAAGTCAGGCAGAGATACAGACAGAAGGACGTCGCGGGTTACTTTTTATATAAGTTGTTAACTTGATAAAGGTCAGCAGCGTAAAGATGGCTCCTCTGATGTTATTGGTGATATTTTTACTATTAGAGATTCCATGCTGCAATATCTAAAACTAAACATTTTGTATAATGAAATTATAAATATGTCTGCGATATTTGTATATAGGAGAAACTTTTGAGAAAAAAAATATATGAGGTGTCTTATTTTTTTTTTTATAACACAGGAGGCAAACGAGCTTACGGCTCACCTGATCGTAAATAACTAGTGCCGCCCATGATCACCTGCAACACCAGATGCATTGCAGGTGTGTTCCCAGCCTTGTAAAAAAGGAATATGCTCTTTTCTTGAAGGTTATGATGTCATATCGGTTTAGAAATATTGCTGTTGGAAGCTGAGGGGCCATGAAATGTTTTCCGAAATTTCGGAGTCAACCGAAACACAAATTTGATGTTAAAATTACATAATACATTCCGTTTAGAAATATTAAAAATGTTAAAATATTATTCTTTTGGACTTTTATGATAGGATGTATGACGAACGAAATGTTAAACTCCATTTATTGGTCCGATTTTGGGATAAACAAAAACACGAAATTAAATTCGAAATTTCGGAATTTCATTTCATGGTAGACTCGCTGATTCGAAAAAGTGGTTGTGCGTAAAAGAAAGTACCTTGAAAAACACACGGTGGAGGATCGCCACTCATGCAGATGGTTAGGATGGAACTTTATTTTGTGGCGGGTTGTACGGTGGTGAAAATCAGCAGCAGAAAAGCAGCATTAGCAGTCCGAACAGTTCCAAACAAATATTAAATGCGACAGAAGCAAAAAGATTTTTTTTTTATTTTTGCTTGTTTTATATACAACATATCTTTTCGTTTTCAGAGTCAACTATTTTTTTTTTCAGAATGAAATATATATATATATATATATATATATATATATATATATATATATATATATATATATATATATATATATATATATATATATATATATATATATATATATATATATATATATATATATATATATATATAACACAAACGCAAACAACTTAACTCCTCGTAGGAGTATATTGGTATATTGTCTTACGAACTATATTTCCCAAGAAAATTCCCATGTGGCCTGGAGGTAATGATTGTATGTGGACGAAGTAGTGGGAAACTATAACCGTAACAAACCATTATTGTCTTACTTATATCCAGGGTACTATTGGGGTCTCTATTAATATAGAGAACTATTCTCTGTTATCACGATGGACTAAATGGTTTAAAGATTTAAAAAAAGTTTTAAAATTTTTACTAATATTCCAAATATGAAAGTGAGTTTGTTTATTACTTAGAGCCTTAACGGATTAACCGATCACTATGACATTTAGTATACAGAATATGGAATTTATGAACATTATAATAGAGGGTAAAATAGGAGGAAGGGTATAGGGTAACCAAGGCATAGTATTTCAATGCATGAAAATGTAATGGTAACTCCTGCCTACGCTATCTGTATAATGATGAACCAATGAGGAATGATAGGTGAGCAGGTCAGTTGGCCCATCGTGACAAATTCGTCTAAAATTAACCAGGATGGTTTCCAAGGGAACCGCGTAGAGGTCGACCTGTTAGGGTATATTGTTACTAATAGGCTTATTAGATCTCATTATTAACGATTTCTTTTGCCCCCTAAGGCATAGTTACAGCAGGCAGATCAAGGAATAAGTTGGTGTTGTGTCGTATCAAGAGGTGAAGAAACTCTCTGAATAATCCACCAAAGAGATAGAAGTGCAGCTTTTAAATAGAAAATAAACTGTATGGGACGGAGAAAGAAGGCTTCTTTTTATCCCGGTCAATAAACCCATACAGGTCAGGTCGTGAGTAAAAACTAGTATATTTACAAGTTACACACTTCAAGAAGTACATGTATTACAAATGTGTTGCATTGTGTGGAGATTGGCTCTAGATGGCATTGTTTAATGTCTCTAGTGCTATTTATTTATAAATAATACAATACAAAACACCTTAGTTTCTTGAGATTCTTGAGTGGCGAACCTGTACAGGCAAGCGCAGTGTTACCCCTCCCTCCCATAGATGGAGTGATGACCTCAAATGAATTGAAAGGAGTCAGTGGATGCAGGTGGCTCAGGACCGTTCCTTATGGCAGTCTATTGGGGAGGTGTATGTCCAGTAGTGGACAGGTAATGGCTGAAATGATAATGATGATGATGATGATGATGATAGAACTAATTTTATTATAAAGATTAATTTTTTCATAACTTTTTAATGATTGGTACATGTCAGTAATAACAAAATACGCGAAACAAACTTATGTAATATTACAATAACACCTTATTGTATCACATTTTAGCAATAAATTTCATTCGTTCATCCAAAAAAATAATAAAATACAAAATATATCACAAAGTGGAACAACTGAAGCGGGAAACAATTGTATAAAAACGTAATCCTTATAGTCTTAACGTTTCACTACGCCATCGACCAAACACTATTGACTCCGGACTGTATCGATTTAAACCTTCAATGTTATTAGAGTTCCGTAATAAAATAAATGAACGAAATAAACTTGTCTGAAAGAGATTGGTGGCGGCTTGATGGGCTGGGTTATTGGGTTCCCTATAATATGGTGGAACACAAAGATGGCTGACCCATCCGTTATAGTTGTGAACGGGTGCTTAAGAATATTGTGATTTATTGTAGTTTTTTTATTAATATGAAGTTTGCTATAGTCTTTTTTTTCTACCACTGAGGTGGCAAATAAGAATATGGCCCATCTGATAGTAAGCGGTTACCGTAGCCTATAAACGCCTGCAATATCAGGGGCATTACGCGTGCGTTGTCGACCCTGAAGAAATCGCTTTATCCCATTTTCGAAGAACCCCATGCTGTAGTCTCTTGGAAAAACCTTGACAGTACTTTATCCACTTGCATTTTGTTTGGTCAACTCAACTATTATTTGAAAAAGAAAAACGGCTAAATATCTTGCTAACAAGAAAGAAGAACGCTTCTCAACTGAAACTACACTCTAATCTGCGTGGTGGATTAATAAAAAAAATACTATTCGCTTTATTTGAATAAATACACTTTCCAGACGTTTTCCCATTAACCAGTTTACTTTCATAATTTGGTTAAAAAAGAAGAATCTAAGTAATATCTGTGAACTAAATATAATTTAAACCAGTCAGCTGTCTAAGCGTGTTCGAGTAACAAACATTCAAACATCAAAACAGACAAAAACCTTTATAAACACTTACAATTACAATATTACATGTATCTATTATAATGAAACGTACTTAGTTAGTCTAGCTGGCTTATTTTTTATTCTAATTCCTTATACGAAACCCTTCACAATTTCCGTAACTTCCAACAATCGTTTATTTTTCCGTTTACCTCATTTTGGTGGGTATCGTGCAAACTTTGATGTCTTTACCGTAAAATATCGATTTGCTTTCTTTTACTTGTTTTTTTTTTGTGTTGCCAACTTTGCCAGTTTCTCGTGCCAGCTTGTATTCGCTGGTCTATTTTGTTTTATTTTTTTTCGTTCAAGCAAGTCTTTTGTATAGGAAATTGATTTTGCGGTGAGATTTTTCATTATAAGTAGATATTTAAACGGACGTTTGTATTCTTTAATAGTTCATTACTGTATTTTATCATATATATATATATATATATATATATATATATATATATATATATATATATATATATATATATATATATATATATATATATATATATTTATAAAAAAGAAATGTTTTATGTATGTGTATATTTTTAATCGATAATAATTAAAATGAATGGTGACCTCGTCTCTGCTATCGGTATACACTGGTGGGACATCACTATTCACGTGGCATCATACATTTGTGGGTGTGTTTTGTGTTTCGGAGGACACGTAAAGCCACCGTACTGTACAGAGACATTCGTGCATAATGATGGCGGCCTAGAAACTCTTGATATCTGAGGGCTACACTGTCATACGAGTAGTTGTAGTATTATTTACAAATTTATTCACGATATATATAAAATTATTGTTTTATTGAAAAATGTCTTAATATTAACATCAACGATAAATTTGTCACTTACTCTGTACTCGGTATAAGGATCCTTAATAATATTATAAGTGTGAAAGTATGTTTGTTTGTTTGTTACCTCTTGACGTTTTGATGCCTTATCTAATTGTTACGAAATTTGCTATACATGTACAATATGCGATGTAAAACAATATAGGCTACTATTTATCCTTGTCAATCAATAAATCACTGTCATGCGGACGGAGTCGCGAGTAAAAACTAGTTATATATAATTTAAGAACGTGTTTCACAAAATAAAAAAGTATTTCAATTGTAGTAAAACGAGTTATTTTGATTAAAAAAACCGATTTTTAATCAATTTTAAATTTTAAGATAAAAAAAATAATTTTGTAAATTGGTTTTTGAAGTCTATTGATCTATAACTGAAACTGTTTTTTTTTTTTATTTTAAATTATGATTTACTCTGCACATACTAGTTTAATAAATATTATTGTTGAATTTCAAATTGTTAATATTTTTGTTACACCCTGTATTTATATGTAAATATAAATATATCTGAATATACTGTTTATAATTACTCCTCTCCATCCAAAGGTTGTATGGAAGAGATCGCTTTTAGCTATAAGGTCGCCCATTGTTTTCTTACTGTGATTATTTCTTGTAATTGTTTATATCTGTAATAAGTTTACTGTTGTAATCTTTTGGAGGAAACAATAAAGAATATCTATCTATCTAAATAGAGATATTTTAGCAATAAACAAATTTGTTGTAATAAATACATAATACATAAAAAGAAACAACATGAAATAAACATTAATTGTATTAAGCTTCGTTTTATAAATATAAAAATTTATGCTTTAGTATAAAATAATTTCTGTTTCAGTATTTCTTTAGAATTCATTCGACATTACAAAGTCAAATTGTAACAAATAAAGGTGCTGATTTATTCTCAATTGATTATTATATGATAAAGGTCAACGAACTATAAATCGAGTACTTATGAGTGATGAAATTACAATATTTTCAATCGAAAACAATTTCTCAATTCGTTTGATTTTTTTGGGACTACGTTTAATTATGAATCGTTTTTTTGTTATTCTCTTTGAAATCATGTGCGATACAGTATACTTACTCTGTTATGTCCACCGTACTGTGGGCCGTCAGCTTGTTTGCCATTCTAAGTTGCATAAAATCAATACTGTTTATTCTCGAATAGGTTCCTATATGAATTTTTATAAAAATGAAGCCATGGATTATAGTCATAATAATTATTAATAATTTATTTGTAGTAATTATTCTTTCTGTGATTAAAATAGCTTTTGTCGAAAAATCCATAAAATGATACTGATAGTGTTAAGCTTAGATAGAGAATTAATTACAGTTTTTATTATGTGAGCGTAATAATAAGGAACTTGATTTTAACCATAGATTAAAAATGAGTTTTAATATTTGACAGACGTATATTTGATACTTGATACAATGACAATTTATACTCGTATTTAAAACTTGGCAGAATGGTCTTTGAACTTAGCCTGTTCTTCTGAGGGACGAATTTAAAAAAAAAATTGACATTGGCATTATTATTTTGTCATACTATATGTCATCCATATTTACATCTAAGCTGAAGATAATAAACAAAATTTAAAACCTCCCATTTTTATAACTTATATGTAGAACATCAATCATTCTGACCAGATAAAATGGCGACAAGCGCTGAAGCAGAAGTGGAAAAAATGAAACTTTTAGAAGAAAGGATCAAAGCGCCATCGATATGGGGTCGAGTACCTTGCGGTATAAGGTTCGAAGACTTGCAGGACAAGAGATACGAAGATGCTGTTAGGTTGTTGAAGAAACACTATTTGCCTGAAGAGGTTTGTTGACATGTTTATCCAATTGCTAAATTCGTGTAACTTAGAATGACAAACAATCTGACTTTTTTTTAACATTAATTTCATTTAATTAGAATTAGTTTTGTTTATACTCTAGCCAAATCCGCTTCGAGCTCATATTGTGTAGGTGAATGTTCTACTTGTCTATTCTTTGTAACATAAGTATACGTTATTATATTTTTTATTATAATTATGTTATATTTTTCTCTTTTTTACATTACCAATCTATATATTTATATGAAGACGAAAGTCTTTAACCAGTGCGTGTTACCAGTGATGACTTATTGAACCGAAACATGGTCTTACACAGTTGCCCGTATGCAAAGGGTTCAAATTACTCAGCGGGCTATTCAGAGGGCAATGCTCGGAGTCTCTTTGCGTGATAGAATTTGAAACGAGGATATCCGCAAAAGAACCAAAATAACCGAATAAGCCCGAAGGATAAGCAAGCTGAAGTAGCAATGGGCTGGTCACATAGCTCGAAGAATCGACAACCGATGGGGAAGGTTCTTAAGTGGCGCCCGCGTACGGGCAAACGCAGTGTAGGACGGCACCCTACTAGATGGAGTGACGACCTGAAATGCATTGCAGGGAGTCAGTGGATGCAGGTGACTCAGGACCGTTCTTTATGGCAGTCTATGGGGCTTATGTACAGCAGTGGACGGATAATGGCTGATGATGATGATGATGATGATGAATCTATATATACTTTATATTCTAAGATATGTATTTATATACATATACCTAATAAAATTGTGTATGCTATCTAAGCACGCATCACGTAAAAATGTGTGTGTGTGTGTGTGCGCATATACATACATATATTTGAAAGAAAGAAAGAAACTTTATTTTACAGAAATATGCGACAACACCCACACAGGGGTTAAAAAAATCAATATATTAAGAATTATAATAAAGAAACAACACAAAAAAAAAAATATATATATATATATATATATATATATATATATATATATATATATATATATATATATATATATATATATATATATATATATATATATATATATATATATAATATATAAAATATATCTATATCTTCACAAATTACCTATATATATTAGACTGAGTAACTTGGAATAGAAATAAGTCGGCTAATAACAACTTAATGACTCGAGTTTCCAAGTAAATGCCGGATAAAAACTTAATTGCCTGTTATGAAATTTTAATTTAGTTCATTAATTTTGATCAAGAAGTGAATAATCTAGATATTGTTGTAATACAAGTATATTGAATTTTTAAAATAATAAAATATTAGCAATTGCTTCTGACTTTTGCTGTGTGGTCCCGGCATAGAAAAAGCTACTCCTTTTCTGTTAGTAGGTGGGGACTAAGGGAATTTGATAGTGGAGGAATGGGTAGCAGTGTCCCTACCTACTGTAAAACTTTACCAAAGCCTAACTGCGATTGCCAAACAGCCTTCTAATTACTGGCAAAACCTCTTAAGCGGATGCCTATGTTCAGCAGTGGACACTGACCAGCTGATGTCGTCATCAACATCATTACTCCTGATTTCGTCTGCGAAAATGGTTAAAGCGATTATTTCAATTATTGTTAATATTGTCATTAAAAAGGGGCCAAATTAAAAGTACCCGTAACCGGCGAGCGTGTATGAAAAGATTGATGAATGTGGAGGAAACGAAAGAGGCCTGTTTGAATCGAAGCATTTGAGCAGTTCTATTGTTTTTACCTATTTAACGAGAGAGAGGGAAAGATAATTATTTTTTTTACAACACAGTGGGCAAACGAGTATGCGGCTCACCTGATGGTAAGTGACTACCGCCGCCCATGATCACCCACAACACCAGCGGCATTGCAGGTGTGCTGCCGGCCTTTTAAAAAGGAATATGCTCTTTTCTTGAAGGTTATGTTGTCGTATCGGTTCGGAAATACTGTTGCTGGAAGTTGAATGTAATGTCATTTATTTTTACAGATCACGTACAGATCTGTAAAAATTGCTCAAGATCAAGAAGGCACAGACGAATTCGTGCACAATCTTCGTATTTGGATGAAAGATAAGATGTCCATGGCAGCTGTTCATGAGGGAACAGATAAATTAGTGGGAGTTCTTATTATGAGGATACAGGAAAAGAGTGAGTATTGTTTATAGTATGTATGATACATTGATTATTATTAACGGGAAATTAATTAGCTGCGGACCGCACTGCGAAGCGAGACGCTGTGACGCAAAGTGCTGTACGCCCCCTGAAGAAGATTTTTGGGTGTACTCGTAGTCGAAACAATTGTCGGAAACGACAAAAACACAGTGAGTTCATTAATTTCCCGTTACATATGTACGTAGATATTGTTCTGTGCTATTTTGGTATAGAATCTTTATGGTAGGACTTTATCCATTCGTTCGTCCGTCACAACGTTTTTAAGCGACTACTTCTGTTTTATTATTCTATTTTTTTAATGTTTTTACTTTATTTGCTCCATTTTATGGGTTCAATATCCAAAAAGAGTACTCAAGACTTCAAAATGGATGTACCAGTTCGAGTAAGGAATACGAAAGGGCTATATTTGTACATTTTAAAATAAGTTTTTATTTATCTAGTTCTCAAATTACGATGGAAAATGTGACAAAAATACCATCCTTCATCCCTTCATTTACGAAGGGAAATATCTAATATATAAATGTATGTTATGTATTGTATATATATATATATATATATATATATATATATATATATATATATATATATATATATATATACTAAAAAGTTGTCTTTAAGAGATTGCTTTAGCGGATAAATATTCACATTTATATTATTATATATATATATATATATATATATATATATATATATATATATGTTTAGTAATATATATTTAAGTTGCATTTAGCAAATGTTCAATCAAATAGTGATAAATATTCAAAAATTATATTATTTATACTATATCTCTAATGCAAACAAAACTAAAATACGGTATAACAATACGAGTATGCCACTGTTGATGTCTACATTGACGAAGGCTTCATCGAGTCACTATTCGGAATCTATTTGCGTATCGATTCGAAATAAACTCGATTTCGGCGTGTATCGATGGCCGTAACATTAGGGGGCAGATTCCTTGAATGCTTTGAGCCTAAATTTTTACTGCATCCGTAAAAAGAATTCCGATTCAGCTGTAGGATTTGGAGGTTGGCGCGAGTTGGAAACAGAGCGGAAACGCAAAAGAAAATAATGTCGCACTAATACATTAATGCCTAGTTCACAAGCTAAGATATTTATTTATTTATTTTAATAGGGAAACATACAATACCTAAAACACAAATAATAAATACAGTCATAACATATATCAGTAAAGTTTCAACAACAAATTAACACATCATATATTTGATGTGAGAGAGAGCAGATAATTAATGTAAAAAAAATTCAAAAAAAAAAGATAAGGAATATAAAAATAACAATTAACAATTAATTTTTTTCCTCTTTAATTAAACGGAGTAAATTTAAATAACTTTATCGACCAAAAGAAAATATGGTATGGATATTTAGTCAATTAACATCTAGGGATACAACCCAGAACATCCAGACCCGAGCTAAATCAAAAATGGTAATTTATAAACCGGCCCGATTGTTAATCGAACCCGTAACCTCATTTATGTAAAACAATGTGCCTACCACTATGCCATGGAGATCGTCGAGGAAGAAATGATTCGATTTTTAAAAATGAATTTAAAGTAATTTCAATGTACGAAGATTCTCAAGTTCAGTTTTATGGCTATTATGATATGTTTTATCATAATTATTATGTCTTATATATTAATTGTTATATTATTGTTCATTTACTTTTTAATGAGCACATTATGAAAAAAATTTTTGATACATAAGGCGGATATATGGAAAAACAGAAATGTAATTATGCAATGAAAAATATAAGACGGTTACAGACGGTTTGACTCACAAACTATATAATATATATATACGTACAATGAAGAACTACTACACATTATGATCATATAAATATACTTACATGAATACATTTTACAAATTATTACTTACATATATAAATACGAGAATTAACTTGATCATTTAGGTCATCATCATCATCATATCAGCTTTTAACTGTTCACTGCTGAACATAAACCTCGCCCTAGGTAGGTTTTGCCAGTAGTTGCCACGCTTGGCAGGCGGATTGGCAACCGCAGTTAGGCTTTGGAGATGTTTTAATAGGGACGCTGCTGCCCATCCCTCGCCCTCCCTTTGTCGCCTCTTACGACCCCCACAGGAAGGGGGGGGGGGGAAAGGTATACCGATAGCGTCGGTGGGGTTACCATTCCATTATTATCCATTATTAAAAATAAAAAATACCCACAGGAAAGGAATAATTCAAGCCTATTCTATGTCATAAATACAATAATAATATAATCATTTAGGTTAATATATAATAATTTATCCGACTTATTTTGACGTTTCGACCAGGTTACACAGGTCGTGGTCATGACTAGATTGTTTCGATTATAGTTCACCTAAATAATTGTGTTAATTCTCGTCTCTTAGATTGAAAATATATGAATTTATAATGCGGAACTCTTTTGTTCCTTTATTAGGTTCATTCGACGTTTATTCGAGGTAATTTCGATTTTATCCTTATTCAATTACGTCATAACTTACCCTGCAGTACTGGCATGGCCCCGTTGTTGTCAAAATATTATTCATTGGTAAAAAATACTCATAAATTAAGCTAAATTGAATGGTTTTACAACGTTCGAATTGAATTTCTCAATTGGCTGCCTTTGACGAATATATCCGCCATATATTAGGCGGGGGTAACAAAATTGGCCGCTACGCACGCAAACAAATTGACAAATTTCGATTTAACTCAATACATTTCACGCACAGTTTTAATTTTCCAATTCCAACACAATATTCGACGGTATTGTTTAGAGCTCACGAAGTTGTAAACGATAGAGGAACGGTGTCAAGCCTTTATAAATTATATACCTATAATATAAACAAATAAAGTTAATAATGACTAGTCCGTGAACTGTTTTTTTTTATTATTTTACAACGACGATAAGATATTTAGTGGGCATACTAGATTTTAAATATTTAAATTTCGAACGCAGTATCGTGTATGCGTACATAGACTTTGCTTCGCAATTACCATTTTGTGTAACAAAGTGCTCGGCGTAATGTAGTCATGACGAGTGTTACAGTATTTATAGTTTATTTATTTATTCTTTATTACGCTACTTAAAGAATAATAAATAATATATATTACTATGTTTGTTGAAAATAAACATAATTCACAGTGTGAGGTGAGACGCTACGATGTAAACACCTTAGTCATCCAGAAGAAAGGGGAGGGGAAGGGATTTTTAGTAATGGAATCAAATACCCTATTTAGGTATTTGATTGAGGCTATTAGGTCGGCCTTCACGCGGTTCCCCCTGGAAAACATCATGGTTAATAATTGTTGAATTCGTCACGATGGGCCAGCTGACCTGTTTTCATTCTCACCTGTCATCTTTCACTCGTGCTTCACCAGTGTATACCGATAGCGCAGGCGGGGTCACTATTTTATTTAGGGCTTTTCGAACAGAGTCGAAATAATTGGTCAGTAATCGACAAACATAGTAAGTAAAATATGTAGTAAATAGACCACAGTTTTTTAAATATTCAACGATAATGTTATTAACTTATTATAAATATAAAAATTTACATAATTTAAATTTCAATTTTTGAATCGACTTGAGTTTGGGTGTTTCGGGTTCTGCTTCCAGATATAAATTGCCTGTTTCCTCATAACATAGGATCTCAGCTTTTTTTTTTATTATCATTTTAAGGGCTTTTGCCTTCTTCAGGTATATCAGCCCTATCGTACCCTGAAAACCAGAAAAAAACTATCAAAAATCACAAAAATCAAGATATTAAACAGTTTTTGTATAAGCTAATAGAAATAAAGTTTATTTTAATTTTAACTATTATACTATCGCGCTGCATGTTTTATGGTTTATAAGAAATGGGTATTTACGTAAGGTACTTTGATTTTGATCTGTATATTAAAATATAGAGGTGGATTACGCAAACAAAACCATAGGTAACTGCTAGTTCTTAACTAATGTTTTGATGCATTGTAGACATCCGGTTAGAGAGGACCACATTGATTTAAGGTTATTATCGTAACCTATAGTCACCTACATTTATGTCTGTCATAAATGGTTGACAATGCCGGAATATTACCAATAGGAAATTCATCCTGTCAGACTAGACGGACTGAAACTAGACATGGACTATCGTTCCAAAGAAAATTTCAGATATTAGAGCTTTTCAATAGCTGTATTTCGCATCTTTACCTGCATGAATCAGTACATAAAGTTTCCTGTGTGTTAAGTTACAATGAAACCTACCGGTGTACCAAATTTTTATCAAATCAGTTTAGTACTTTTTGCGTGAAAAAGTAACAAACATCTATCCATATATTGTTAAAATTTTCATATTTTTAATATTAATAGGATTGTACTACAAGCTTTTACCTGCGACTTCGTTCGCGTGACCGGGATATGTTTAATAATTGGGATAAAAATATGCTTTTCTCTATCTCGTATAGTATGTGTATATCACAAAAAAAAAACAAATTTACTTTCATATTTATAATATTAGTAAGAATAACACGTGCAGAACTGGATAACTTGAGTATTATGGCTTTCTTTATCAGCTAACCTTTAGATATAAACAGAAGCATTTTTTTTTAGTTATATTGTCAGTGTGAAAGATTATCTAGCACATTTATTTGATAATAAAGGTTTCGCTCTCGTGTAATTAAAATTTATTAATTTATTTTTTTATTTTTTTTATACCACGAAGGCGGTAAACAAGCATATAGTCCGAAATCTGACGATTAAAGTCGACATTTATACGATGTTTCACGGTCCCGTGCGTTAATTGAAAGATTAAATATGTTAAAACATCTATTTGAATTACCTTTTAATACCTTTAAATAAAAACCGCATTAAATTTGATTTATTTGTTTGAGTAGTGAAATGTTCAGACTAAATACACAGACATAAAGAGAAAAGGCTTCCAATTTATTCCTTTTCATGCGTTAAGAGTTAAAAACAACTTTAAATCAAATGTTTCCACGAGATATCTCGTTGTTTATTGGTGCGTTTTATTCGTTTTCAAATAAGAACATCTGAAAACAACCGCTTGTAAGGTTTCATACAAATTCATAACTTGTAAAATTCAACTCAGCATCCGAGGTTCTTGCCCATTTTACTTAGTTAAAATTTGATTTCGTATAAATGTTAGAACCATAAAATATCATCATTTTCCTACCCTTATCTTGATTATGTAAGTTATGAGGTCGGCGTAATATGTTACCCAAGGTTTTGGCTCTTAGTTTTACGACCGGCCACCTGCCTGATGTCAACCCTTATTGGGAATAAATAAATAAAAGGTAATAATAATCCAAATATAATAAAAAATGCTTAAGTTTAAGGGCGTTTAAAAAAAAAAGAAAAATATTCGGGCAGTAAAGTCAACTGTTTAAGTCAGCAACGAAATACTTGTATATGAAACACTAGACTTAAAAACTTCAGTATCCGCTGTAGCTCGCTCTTGCGCCAATATTCTTGTACGTAAATTGGATTCCAAGTAGTCGATAGGGACAGGGTCTATATTAGGGGAAACGTTGATGCTATCGAAAGGGGAACAACGAACAGACAAAACGTAAGGTAAAATTGTGCATTCCCACTTTTACAGTTAAGATTCTAAAACTGCAAAATTAGAGAACTGAAACCGAGGGGGGAGGCAAATTGAAGTGTCTTTTCCCCAAATGCGTATTTTTACGGCCTGTCCTCTGATTAGAATATTTTCTTGAAAGCATTACCAGATGACGCGATCGAAGGACTTTGTTTGACTATTGTCCATTGTACGAGTAATAAAAATGAATGAATTTTTTCCCCAGATTAATTGGGATTGTCAAATAGTTAGGTGTTTTTTTAATGGACGAAAATGGAATAAAAATAAATAAATAATAGTTTATACAGCAAACATTGTTACACTTACATAAAAGGTTTCTTCTTTTCATTTAAGAGTTTCTTCTTGTCGGTACAACTAACACTCACTTTCACCGGAGGGAGACTTTGTACAAAAGTCGATTGCTTGGGTACCTCTGTCTCATTCGTGTTTCAATCGTGAAGCAGTTGTGTTTGCATGGCTGTGTTTCGGTTTGAAGGGTGGGATATGGCGTAAATTTACTGGGTACAGAGGAATAACACCTGAGTCCTCAGGAATGGCAACGCATGGAGGGTATCATGGGCAAAACAGTATACTCTGTTATGTTCATGGTACTGCTCATGTCTATAGGCAATGGTTACCACTTTCCATCAGGTGGGCCGTCAGCTTGTTTGCCATTCAAAGTTGTATAAAAAAAAATCATGCATCTTCTTTCAGGCAACTCTATCTCAGCCCATATTCTTGAGCTCCCTATACGACATGACACCTAGTGTTACATTTATCTATTCCATGTAGTTATTTCTCGATTTTCCTCATCCTCTTTTGCCATATATTTTTCCTTCTACTATGCTCTTTAAAAAATCGTCATGTGTATAAGACGACCCAGCATTTTGCCTCTTCTTTTGAATAAAAGGTTTATATAGAGTGAAATAACAGGAATAGTAGGTGATGGTGCTACGCAATATTTGCTGAAATGGTCCCCGCTCAGCGTTATGCTGCAGCCAAGGAGATACAGCATTGATTTTCAGCGGAAGCGATCCGAGCAGATTTCATCTGATCCCGAAACTAATAGAGCAGGTTTCCTGAGTTAATTACTTGTAAGTTAAACTGGTAGTTATTACATTAAAATTAAAAGATTACTTTGTTGTTTTCAGGTGCATTCTCCCGTACATTTAGTAGAGTAAAACTGACACATAACCCACTGTACACGACTGTGATGACTTTTTACAACGAAATAGAGAAACCGGTTTGTCTTTACGAAAAATTGGGCGTAAGGAAATATTTTAAAGTTTACGTGCTGGCATTGAAAAGCAGGTACAGACACAGAGGTTAGTTTGACAAAGAAATATTTAAGACAGTAATATTTTTTAATAAAAAAGAATGCATAATTATAAAAGAAAGAAAGAATATATATTTATAAAATTTTCAGAGAGATTAGTAGAAAATTATATATAGTCTTAAATATTATTTAAAAAGATAACATAATGAAAGTCATTGGATTGTTGACTTTCATTCCTTGAAGGAAATGTAACTGTTTCAATGATTTTACAACTAAACGGCTGTACTGATTTCCATGAAATTTGGAAAGTATCCAAGAAGAAATCTCAGGAAACAATTAGTTAACAATAAAATGCAGTTTACAGCAGACAACTATAACAACAATTGAACGCACTCACAAACTATCAGAACATTTCTGATTTCGATATTTAAGGCACCATCAACCATTTGATACTATTTGTAGTTAAACATTTTAAAGTTTGATAGAATTTCAATAATCACCAACATTAATTCCCATTTCATCATCGTCATCATATCAGCTGTTATCAGTCTACTGTTGAACATTGGCCTCCCCCATAGACTGTCATAAGGAACGGGGCCATTTTCTATGGCAATTTATTATTGGAGGGTTTTGTCAGTAGAGGCCACGCTTGGCAGGCGGGTTGACAATCGCAATTTTACCAGAGGAAGACTTTGTACAAAAGTCAGTTGCTTGGGTACCTCTGTCCCGTGTTTCAACCGTGAAGTAGTTGTGTTTGCATGGCTGTGTTTCGGTTTGAAGGGTGGGATATGGCGAGAATTTACTGGGTACAGAGGAATAACATCTGAGTCCTCAGGAATGGCAACGCATGGGGGGGTATCATAGGTGAAATAGTATACTCTGTTATGTCCATGGTATTGCTCATGTCTATAGGCGACGGTTACCATTTTCCATCAGGTGGGCCGTCAGCTTGTTTGCCATTCTAAGTTGCATACAAAAAAAAGTTTGGTTTTTGATGACGTTTTAAGACAGTACACTACTGTTCATCCCTCGACCTATAAGTTATAATTTATTAGTAAATTCCTATTTAATTCTAGGCATAGCAAAAGAAATGCTAAAAGCCGCTATACCACTCGCAGCAAGTGCGAACGTACCGGCTATAGCTGGCGTTTTTACCACCGCTCGCTCGCAGCAGATCGCCGAGGAGCTGGGCTTCGAGAAGTTTAATGAAATCTACTATATTAGATACTTGATAGATGAACAGGTAAGACTGGTTATTAGTAGCGGCAATGAGAAATGGCGGTAATACATCATGACGCGATTTGTTGTGCGTTTCCCCTTAATGAGAAATACGTAGAGAGAGAGTATTCTAGGTCCAAAGACAGTTGGAAGTTTTGGACGTGATAAAAATGAAAATAGTATGATATTCGACTACGAAAATGCATAAAAATAGTAAATTGATATATTTGTGTAAAAAATAAATTAGGATTTTGATAAAAAAAAAAGAGTATTAATACATGTAGCAATTATTTGCTATATTGATGTGACCAACCCTAAAATGATTTAAAACTGACGTCTTATTTGAGTCGCAGACATTACCTTGTTACCTGGGGAGTAAATACAATAAAAAAGGGTTTTTAGGACCACAATTGACGGAGGAATCGGTGGATATATCTTGTAAGAGGCAACTGTAGTGGAACCCAGCGTTTTTGTTGTGTTTTGTTAAGAGAGGGACTGGCTGAAAACCAGCGCTGGGCTGCTATTCACATTGCGTTAGGACACTCACAGCATCAGCTGAGCCGGTTTCTTTTGCCTAGTATGGGGCATTTCTTGTATATGTATGTTCTATATTTTCCATTGTGATTGTGTGTTTATTAGCAATAAATATTTTCTATTCTATTCTATATATTTTGAAAAATATATAGAGTCGTACAAAGAACTTCCACCTTTTATAAAGTATGTTAAAAGTCGTAAAAAATACCATTGAATTTTCTTACGAGATTTATTTTTTGAAAGCTATTTTACTGAACACCTTTTTAATGAAGTCGGTTAAAAGTCGTAAAAAATACAAAAAGTTCAACAGTGGTACAAATAAATAATGATAATTTGATTGGATTTTTCGATTTATCTTTAATTTCATTTATAGGTAGCAGTTCTGTGATGATTTCCATTATATTTGATTTCCATTATATTTATATAGTTTTACGATTTAGTTCTATCACATTTTAGATAGTAAAACAAAGTTGGACTTTTTTGTCTGTTTAGTTCTACTATTTGCAGTATAATTTTTTAATGGAATTTAAACGAACAAAAAGTTAATTTTTTTGTCCATTTAGTATTTCATTTTATTGAAATATACTTTTTTTTATTTCTTAAATATAATCTTTATTAAATATAATCTTATATTATATTCTTAAATAAAAAAATTCTTAAATATAATATAATAGAAAGCATTATTCTTAATAAAGAGTAATGCTTTCTCTGTTCGAAACATTATATATTATTGCCAAACTCGTATTTACTAGTTTTATGGTAGTTATACACATTTGTAGCGGCCTTAAAGCGTTGTCCACTTTGAATTGAGAATTCAAATAGACTTGTCACACACTCATACTAATAGATATACAGCATCTAGGTGACGTGAAACTTGAGGGTCTACCATAAAATGAAATTCCGAATTTTAGGACTCAATTTCGTGTTTTCGTTCATACTGATATCGGTTCAGAAAATGGAGCTTAATATTTCGTTCGTCATAAATCCCACCATAAAAGCCCAAAGGAAAGATATTTTAACATTTTTAATATTTTTAAACGGTATGTATTATGTAATTTAGCATCAAATTTTTGTTTCGTGCGACCTGGAAATTGCGAAAAACATTTCATGGTAGGTCTGATCGTGTATGGTCACCATTATATATGCGTGAAATCTAATTTGTCTCCTTTAGATTTTGAGCGGCAGCATTTTCGGAACGGTTTAGCCACATCTGTTCTTAAAATGTGTTCTAACGGTTTTTCAAATCGGTTCCCAAACACTGTTTAGACTTTTATAGGCTCTTGCATTATTCATGTAGATTGCTTTTGTAAGAAAGCGTACAACGTTCCTTGTAGATTATCCAAAAGGGACACATCTGTGACATAGTACATCATCTTGTCTTAATATTGATATAGGATTCATGAATGACAATTAAAGTTTTTGTGGTAGGCACGACACAGATAAACCAGAGAGTGGACTTTTAAGTAAAAAGTAAATTGTTCATGTTACAATGGCGCCCTCTATTATCAAGAATTTCTAGTTTTTTTTATACCGCATAGATGGCAAGTAAGCATACACTTCGTCTGATGGTAAACGGCCACTGTATAAATATATAAATTTAAACGCCTGTAATACTAGGAGAGTCACGTGCGTATTGCTGTCCCTGAAGAAACCTTATTTATACGGCCTTGTATACGAAGGATTTTGGCGTGGCTTACCGTCTTTTAATCACAAAGCGATCAGGCTCATAATCAATTATTGATGTAATAAATATTATATAAATAAAATGTATAATATAATTAATATGTAAATAAAAAAAAATCACAGCATAATAATATTTATATATCCAGTAAATGGAAAATATAGAACGATGTATTTACCATCCCAATCCATTACTAGGCGTAATGTGAAAATATAGCGTGCTATATAAAATTATTTACAATGTGTAATTGTAGAGTACAAAGTCATAACACTATTGTCCTCGAATGGCAGTGCTCGAAGCAACATGAGTTTCACAGAGTATTTTGTGGTATTTATAGTGCTGGTCATATCTATAGATGACGGTTACAATTTAATATCAGGTTGGTGGTTAATTTGATTGCCATTCTACAATTGTACAATTATGCATTAGTTACGCAATAATTCTATTATCGCGTAACTAATGCTTTTGCAGTATTAATTTTTCGTTTATATTCGATAGTTAAGGTCATCGACCTAATCAGAAACAATTGTTCTATATTTAAATTTGATATTAAATGAAATTAATACAAAGGAAACATAGAGTTAAATAGATTTTTTTATTCAATTTATTGCTCGCCTGTAATGTGTACAAATTTTGATTTTTTGATGTTATGCAAATAATTTATTTGATTGATGATTATTTTGTCATCAGATAGTATTCTGTGACACTGGACTTGGGAATTACGGTGCTGCTCTTATGGGCTACAGGATACCAAATGTTGAGGAGTCTCAGGAGTTACACACGCAACAATCATCAAGGTTCAATATACAGCCGATTGATGATGATGACGATGGAGGCAATTGATGATGTCATATGAATTTCTTATGATAATTATTATACTGTTGTTAATTGATGATATATTTATTTTATTTGTTAGTTTCTTTTTAAAAAATAACAGAATATAAAATTATGTGATTTTTATTGTATATTACCTATACAAAGGGGGCATAGTAAGTATATGGTACACACTGTATTCTGTGATAGACAGCACCTAATGTTATCTATCAGATGGCCTCATATTTATTCTAAAAATTATATTTCGCTATACTGACTTGGTAATAAAGTATTATTAAAACGATGTTCTTAATTTTCTTATTGTTAGTAACATTTAGTAATAGTACTCTACTATTGTTAGTAGTATTATTAATTTGTAATAATTATCTATAATTCTCTACTCTGCTACTAGTTAAGTGAAAGATTTATGGACATAAATACCTATTATATTTATCTTTATAAATCACTGAACTCGGAATGATTGGAAATTAGTTGGGCATATCCGAATTTAAAACACGAATAAAACAGACTTAAAAATAAAAAAAATGATGATGATACGATGATAATATCAGTTGTTAACTTTTCATTGCTGAACATAGGTTTTCCTCTATTGGGGGGTTTACCAGCAATTGACACGCTTCGTAAGGGGATTGGCAACCGCTGTCAGGGTTTAGAAATGTTTTAAGGGGGACGCTGCTGCCTATCCCTCGACCATTAATTCCCCTTAGTCGCCTCTTACGATATTCGTGGCAAATGGAAAGAGTGGCCGTTTATATGCCGGCACCATGCGGAATTTTTCTAGATAATGAAGTAATATTGATGTTTTCTAGGTTTTTTACGGGTAGCTTTTATAACTGGGAAAAATAAATCAACCATTGTAAAGGGTTGTTATAGTTTAAAATTTAAATTTAAAATTATAAAGAGGAAAAGATTTAATTTTTTTTTCTAACGGATAAAGTCCAAAAATAATTAATCAATTTTAAAAATGTTCTTATTTATATAAAGCTACATTATTAGGGAGTAATATATTTATTTTATTTTATTAAAAAAACTGTGTGAAGCGGGGCATGTCGTTCATTACTCTAGTACCTGGTATTTAGTTTTTTTTTTTTTTATAAAAGAAACAGTTATACACGTAATTATTTAAAAAAAATATGCTCGTCCCTAAACTGCCTATAACTACATTTTAAACATTATTCCTTGCTTTATAAATAGCAAAATTTTAAAAAATTACGTCTTTTCCAATAATGAGGCATTTTTCTTCGCGATCTTAATTAATGAAGTTTCGTTATAAATTCATCGGAAAAATAACTTATTTAATCTAACTTTGTTAAGACGTCTAGATAAGTATCTTAATCTCATTAAAAAACGGATCGTTTGACGTTGCCTAAAAGAATCGTTTTTCAATAAATATATAAGTACTACCTGTAGTTTGTAACAAGGTCAGTGTAAAATTAATTTAGAATGTTTAAAGATAAAAATGTGCTACATTTTTAAACGACTTCCATGAGGTGTTATTTTTTTAATGGATGATAATAGAATGGTAACTCTGCTTGCGATAATGGTATGCGCTGGCGAGACACCAGTTGGGGATGATAGGTCAGAAGGTCATCACGACGATTCTCAGGGAGGACTACGGGTAAGTCGACTTGACAGAGTATATTGCTAGCAATGGGACTGGTAGTTTCCAGTACTAGCAGTCCCTTTTCCCCTACTATTTTTCATTGTAGACTGTCAGATTACATGCTATTCAAGGAGCATAAAAATATACTTACAAAATAATTTTCCAAATCGATTTATAATTGACAGAGATATGAGGTAACAAAGGTTAAAGAAAATACAACCGAATTGAGAGCTTCTTTTTTTGAAGTCGGTTGACAAATAAAATAAATTAACAATTTTGATCGGAGCTATGAAAAAGGGCTTATTAAGTAAGCGATATAGTAATACAGTAATATATCTTATTTAAGAGACCTATGTTCAGTAGTGGACAGATAATGGCTGAGATGATGATGATGATGATGATGACGATGATGATGATGATGATTCAACTTCCATTAAAATGTAATTAAAGTTCATCATACATAAGCCATAAAATCTACTCTCAACCAACACGGACTAGCTCAGATTTATGACAATGCAAATTAGACGAAGTGTTATAATTATGTAGTCTCCACAATGATCTATACAGTTCCAGAAATAAGGTCGTTTGGTTCACTGAAACGTTGAGTTAATCTACGAACATTGAAAGACAAATTACACTTCGCGAAGTAAAATATTCAATTTGGACTAACATTAAAAGACTAGCGTCAATCAAAATGATCTTTTGGTAAAATGAGACGACGACTCTTCGAGTAGGAGGGAGATGCCGAGCCAATTTCTTTGGGGACAAGCGAGATAGGTTATGATGGCTTACAGTAGGAAAGAGACGGTTAGCTATTTAAAAGTTTAATCAAAAACAATCCATTTCAATAATATTAATTAGAGTCACGGACTAGGTTTTGGGAGGTAATGAAGAATAATGCGAATTTACAATTGATGCGGTATAGGTTAAAGTAAATAAAGAAGGGTACCGGCAAAAGAATCAAAGTAACCGATATAGCACGAAGGATAAGCTGTAGTGACAATGGGCTGGTTACATAGTTCGAAGAACCGATAATCAATGGGCAAGAATGGTTCTTGGGTGGCGACGGGTGAATGCAGTGTAGGACAACACTCCACTAGATCGAGTGAAGACATCAAATATATTGCAGGGATTCAGTGGATGCAGGTGGCTCAGGATCGTTCTTTATGACAGTTTATGGAGGAGGCTTATGTTCACCAGTGGACGGATAATGGCTGATGATGATGATGACGGTAAAACAAAAGGTATATAGATCTATAAGTCTAAAGCATTTATTTGTGAAGTTTTGTTCGCATCATGAGATCATATAAGCCTATGGGTCAAAAATCTAAGTTATGGTATAGTTGGAGGCGACGATAAGCCGACAACTTTACCATTACCATAATAATAAAATAATGACATTATTAAGTTTAAATATAATAAATATAATAAATATTCTAAGCACCTAGTTTATTATTTTTACTACCCGTGTACCATGATTTTGTCCGCATGACAATTATAAAAAGAAATTTGTCCTTCTACAATCCATATACTAAGTGTATGCAAAATTGTATGCCATTTCGTTGAGCTTATTGAGGCGTTAAATAGAATAGAAATAGAATATATATATATATATAGAAATAACACAGTAGAGAAATAAATTTAATAAAGAAAGACTGCAACTACAATTATCATATTATGGTGACAGTATGGTAGCGAATCCTATAGATTTTAAAAATAAATTTATCATTATTTCAGTATTGGCATACGGATGAATCGAGAACAACTTTCTTTTCACTTAAAAATTGCCATATCAATTCCAAATGTCACGTTCATCCATGATTAAAATGAATTCCTCAATTTATGTAAATTAATCGAGTTTCATTTTGCTCGTAAACGTCTGTCATTATTACGCGAAATGATTCAATTCTGCGTCTCAAATTTGTGTATCATAATTATGTGCTTCGGTCCATTATTTGAATCATTCATCATTTGCTACTGAACATCAGGCTAGTAACGGGTCCTTTCTCGTAGTTATATATTTTTATCATACTGAATTTTTTTTTATACAACTTAGAACGGCAAACTAGCTGACGGTCCACCTGATGGAAAGTGGTTACCGTCGCCTATAGACATGAGCTGTACCATGGACATAACAGAGTATACTGTTTCGCCCATGATACCTACCATGCGTTGCCATTCCTGAGGACTCAGGTGTTATTCCTCCGTTCCCAATAAATTTACGCCATATCCCACCCTTCAAACCGAAACACAGCCATGCAAACGCAACTGCTTTATGGTTGAATTTTTTCTAATAACACTGTATATATTCGTAAAAAGAACCTCAAAGAATTACTCCTTATAATTATTGCTTTTAATTTTTGATAGAGAAATAACATTTAAGTAATTTTAATTTTAAATATTTTTTAATAGTATTTTTTTTTATAATTATACTGTCGAATTTAGAATGCAATTTCAGTAGAGAAAAATAAGCGAAAAACTCAGTTGTTGCTTTCATCAAATTTATATATGATGATACAATTTACTGGCAATAATAGCATAAAAAATAAAGAAATAAAGAAATTAAAAAAGAAAAGAAATAAAGAAATTCCTATCAATTGCAGTATTCTTCAAGAGCTCAGTCTCAACAAGCAGCATCCATTCTTGATTAATTATATAGCTAATTATTATAAAATTTTACAAATCTTATAGGATAAAGTACTAGGAGAGCAGAACTGTGGAGGTATTTGCAATATGTTGTACTAGTAGGACCATAACACAAGATCCTACGAAGAAAATGTGTTTTTCAAATTTCCCACTGCAAAAATATATAATTACAAATACTTAGTCGATATTTTAGTCTTCTAAATATCTAAGTACTAAAGTTACATCACAAGTAAATGAACGACTTAAGAATAGAAATTAATATAACTTTCCGACGCGAACTTAAGAAACTTCTGCCTACTACTTACCTACATTCCTGCAAACCTAAATAAACAAGAGCCCATTCGACTTAGCCGTTACTAACACAAACAAAAATAAAAGCTTTAGTTTTCTAAGTCATTTCGCAAATACGGAACCTCAAGGTATCTATAGTTTGACGGTCGGCCGTGAGAGCGTACAAGTTCCTTTGTTTACCATTGGAAGCGTTTTATGTAATAAACAAAACCAATCTACTATGAGCTTTAACTGAAATAAAGAATTCTTGACATTTGTAAAAATGGTTTTTATCATCAGGTATATTGCTATTTGCTAAGTGTGATTTTTTAAGAGATAACAATGGTAACTATGCATTGTGTTGGTGTGGGGTTCCAGCAAAGAAGAGGCCACCCTTTCCTTGTCCGTGGGTATCTTAAGAGGCGACTAAGGGAACTTAATGTTTAAGGGATGAGCAGCAGCGCCTCTTTTAAAGTCTCACCAAAACCTA